CTGGGGCAGTTTCAACAAGAGGAGGAGCAAGACACGGTAGGTTTTGGTAGCAGCCAGTTTTTGCTAGTTACTTTACACATACTGAAGACTGATTTCCATGTGCTTGGTCTTGACCCCAATCTACCTTAAGACTCATCAGGTGGCCTCTTTAGCTTTGTTATAATGGAAGAAGGATGAATGGAAATTCCTATTTGCAGACATCACCACCCCTGACACACACACACACACACACACACACACTCTCTCTCTCTCTCTCTCTCTCTCTCTCTCTCTACATTTCAGCATTTTACAAAGCAAGTCAGGAAATTCTAGTTGTTCCTTACACTCTGTTGCATCATCATAATTGCTCTTGGCCACTAACAGGAGTTAAACACGACAGTTCCTTAGAATAAGGGGCCATCAAGGTTTTCTGATGTGAGATTGAGGGGAATGTGTAGTTCCATTCTCCCAAATAAGTCCCCCCCCAGAACATTTCATGTGCCTCCCTCCAGTTTAAAAGTCTCATGTAGTTTCTTCTCCGATCCTCATTTAATTACACGGCCTATCATTCTCTCAGGTCTTTCCATTATCCTTTTGAATGAAAACTATCAATATTTCTTATTTAGCCTTCCTTTGTCTAAGCCAGAGATTCCATAACTTTTCCTCCCACAGACCACTGGAAAATTGCATAGGGTCTTGGTGGCTCACTTAATGATTTTTCTGCTTCTTGTAGCAATTGCAGTGCACTGGGCTAGATGCTGTATGATTTTGAATTGTATTTTTATTGCTTCTTTTATTGCTTATATGTTGTATTTCGTTGTATTACAATCTGAATCCATTTTAATTCAAACGGCAACACAGTACGTACCATAAAAATATTATACATTCCAAGAAATGAAAGCAGCAGTAAAAATACAATTAAAGATCAATATGAGTATTTAATGCAAAGGGTGTATTGTCCCCCTTCCTCAACCACAAATCCACAGACACATTGTGGACTACCTATATGAAGCTGGGGACCACCGTTGGAGAACATTTAGCATAGGTGCAGGGGTCCCCAATCTAGATTTCCTTTCTAGATTTTTTATCTGGGAACATCCCCCTTGTTCCCAGATCAGCACAACCCAATGTTACAGAAATGGACACTTGGGTCTCCATAGCACTGCACAGAATAGATGCCTTAGCAATATCACACTCTCTGCAGATACACAGAGATGAAAGAGATCCCGTGGCAGAACATTATGTACCTAAAGCAGGAGTAGCCGAAATAGTGCCCTGCAGATGCAGCTGGACTCCAACTCCCATCAGCCCCAGTCAGCACGGCCAATAGTCAGGGATGATGGGAGTTACAGTGATACCTTGGTTCTCGAATTTAATCCATTCTGGGAGTCCGTTCGACTCCCGAAACGTTTCGAAAACCAAGGCGCAGCTTCCTGAAAACCTCCATCCAGAAAAGAAACATAAAAACAGATATTAGTGTGCGAGGTTTGGTTAAGGTTATACACACATACAAACGCCAAACATATGGTCAGCTGTGAGATTCAACAACTTTCTTCCTACCTTTGAAATAGCAAATTGTCCCAACAAAGTTGCTACCTCTGACTCAAACCTGGCTTATGTTTTACAAAACAAGAAGGAAAACAGACAACTTCCCTTCTGTTCCAGCTTTTCCTACTTCTATTACAGATTTCAAGACTTCAGCCTGGTCTACGCATGCAGCAGTATGAGGTGATATAATACTTAAGGGATAGAGAATGCTCTAACTGCAGGTAGGAGTTGCATTTTTTTCATGCTCCCCTATGTGAAAAATAAACGAATTCCTGCAAATTAATTAAAAACATAACACCCTAACACACTGAGGGAAGTAGTGTAGTCTGGTATGCTTCCTGTTGCGCAGGGAGTAATTGAAGACTGTTGTTGTTTGTGCAGGGGTACACGACAAAAATGTGCTCTCCCACCTGTAGTCTAAAGTGGTACAGTCCATTCTACTACCTCATTCCCACCTCATTCTGCTGCATGTGTAGACCACAGCTAGAAATCTCCCAAGGCAGGAGATTACATAACTTCCCTAGGCAACTCATTTCTTTGCTGAGCTCCTCAGCAGGCTACGATTACAGCACAGGTACCAGTGTTACCCTGATGTGTTCCAGAACAAGCACGTAAATTGCACAAGTCAACCAGGCACATATCTTTGAACACCTATTTCCCTAGATGCACGCGCACAGATGTTTAAATCTGTTTACACACTTCTTTGTGGTGAGCACACTGGAGTTTCTCAATATGCAGCACTGCCCCAAGAACCAATAAATTGTTTTAACTCCAACAATATGCTAGGCATAGGAGGATTGTTAGCAGATGTCCATCCAGCTTTTTAAAAATAAAATCTACAAGAAATAATTTAGCTGCAACAGCCTCATTCAGACACAAGGCTCTCCACACCATGACATCTTTCTGGGTTTGCAAATGAAGGCACAAAAAACCTCCATTCCTTCAGAAAGACTGTTTTTGCCTTTTTCCTCCAGGAACCCCTGTGCACAGTAACGTAAGGGTCATTATCCAAACCCCAGCCCAACGAACAAAGGAGCATTTGACCCTACCTCCCCTCGGTTCATGAAACCAAGACACCAGTCCATCACTACCAGAAAGCATTTGTGCCACAGCAAATACTTGCAGAATAAATAGTTCTGGATGCTTCAAATGACTGAGCCACGTATTACAGAGGAAGGAGGAAGGAGGTATCTCAAAACCACAAACAGACACAAAGGAGGACCACTCCTTCCCACTGGCTAGGGACAAGCACTTGGCAATACACATGTTATTATTGGAAGGCTCAGGAGCACATCCCACATGGAAACCTAGACATTTCTCCCCACACCATAGATGTGTATGCAAGTTACTTGTGCTCCAAGCAGGAGAAGCTTGGGCGTGTGGCCCTGGTTGGTGAAGCGTGTGTGCCCATTGCATCTATATATGGGAGAGGTCATCACCAGCCTCCCATGGCAGGTACTGCGTTTTACAGTCAAGAGCTGGCAGGGAAGAGAAGGGAGAAGACTCTAGGAGCACATGGGGAAATGAATATGCCCCATATTTTTATTATATCAACCTGTTCTCACACCGGACTTTTACTGGGTAATCAACAATGAGATAAGGATCAAGACCTATGAGTGTATGTCCTTTTACAGCTCTGGGGAAATAGTTCGAATTCCTATGAGACCAGCTTCACATTTTGAGAAGTCTGAGGCACCTGGATGAAATGCCACATCCCCCTCTAAGTTGTGCCAGTTCCTGAGGCCCAAGATTGGAGAACAATCCTGAATCTAATGGGCTGCAACTGAAACTCCAGATGTGGTACTGCAATATAGCCTTTTGCACTGAAGTTGCGATGGGGAGATCCACCCCACCCCAGAAGCCATTCACTTAGCAGACTAGCCCAGTTAATGTCCCAGCAAACACAAACACCCTTCCTAACATTTGCAGACCAAAGACTATGGAAAAGAAGAAAGCAGTTCCTGGAATTAATATTCAGGTGTTGCTCTAATGGTGCTGAGCAATTTCAGAGGTCAGGACTTCCTTTTACATTCATGCGAGCCGCACAACGTATAAAATAGGAACAAGCCAGGATTAACTGTGATGCTAAGTACTGCACAGAACAGGGCTCAGCTCAACTGTCATTTAATAACCCCAGATTTCCAAGTGTGAAATGCATTTCCATCTTTCCCACTTCAGCTGGATTTATTTACAAATGCACTTCAGCTCAGAAATGTGGCTGTTCCCTTGCTCTGAGACAGCTGGAACGTTTTTTGGAGTAAGACAGACTGTCACTCCATTCCAGCAAATACAATCCATGTGCAGAAACATGCATGTTGGCTAACCCTAGTATGCCAGCAGATGACAGAATATGACTTATGGGCAAGAGATAAGTGAGAGAAAAGGTTCAGCAAAGGACCCCAATGTGTTCACCATGCATCAAGGTGCACTACTGCTAAAGGATGAAGCCCCTAGTTGCTCTTTTGCTATTTCTATTTTATGGGAATACAGAAGGAAAACAGACTAGACTCTCCCCAGCCTACAAATCAGTTCCAACCAGAGGAACATACTGCAAACTTTAGCTACAAAGAGATGGCCAAATAACTTTCACTTTTAGTCAGAACCAACAAAAGAATCTATTTTACCACTTAATATCAAAATGGGCCCGCTAATCCCAAACTGTTGATCAGGTTCTGAAATTCAAGCCTTCGCTATTTTGCATTCTGCAAAAGCTGATCCAGATTATTTAACAGAAGCTGAGCCTGAACAAATGGAGATGCCCTCTGCACATGCTATGGAGCACTCTTATTATTTAATGTGCTCCGAGTAACTTTGAAAAACAATTCTGGGTCCTGTCAAGCTACAGTTCAAGGGGTTAACTGCTTTAAAAATAAGTGCTGGACCTCAAGTGCTGGAAACCTGGCATCCTAATTTTCTCGTGTAGGGGAGAAACTGACTGTGGTTCTTCCGTGATGAGAGGAACACTCTTCACTTGATCAGAGGCACTCTACTTTGCCATGGTTGGACCCTAGTGTTTACAAACCAATTTAGAACTGAACCCTGGTTCAAATTAAGTACTCGCCACAAACCTAAAATTAATTTCACCTGGAAAATCCATAGCCAGGGGGTACAAACATATTGAGAAGTCCTAAGTGATAGCATCACATTTTTAAGAATGAACGTTCCTTGTTTTAGGCTCAAGTGCTGGACAAATATTACATTATCTCTAGGTGGGGGCAATTCTAGGACTCTGGGGTTTGTCCAGCTCTTCTCTCAGCCACACATGGACCAGGTTCTATACAAAACCAAGCCCCATTGCTGAGGCTCAGATGTTCAGGGACACTCTCCCCTCCCCCCAATGCACTAAACATATCAGCCACTTCATTATGTCCCATTGTCCAAAGTTCCAGACCAAACCTCAAACACACTTGACTACCGTACTTTAAAAATCACTACCCTTATAGCCCATTTCACAGACTCTACATGGTACTCACCTGCCACAGGTATGGCGTGGATCTGTGCCCGTGACAGGAGTTCCAGCGATGGCTCGTGTCCAGAAACTCCATCTGAAGAAAAACACGATTCAGTTTCGTAAATTGTCTGCAACATCTCTGGCAGTCCCCACAGCGAGGATACAAGAAGCATGCCAAGGAGTGATTGCAAACACTGCCGTTATTCCACTGCAGCTTCCCTTTACGACAATCCGTCGTTGCACAACCAAAGGCTTCGGGGAGGTGTCTCTTTTGAGGCTATATTGCCATCTCAAACCATCCAACATCCCCTCCCCTCTTAAGCCAGCCGCGAAGAACACACACACATCTGTCCTCCTTGTGGAAGCGTCTTCTTCTTGGGGGAAAAAAGTTAAATTGTTTTGCAGCAACAGCGGCAGTGGCGAGGAAAACCCCCAAGAATAAATCAAAGCCACCAGGGAAGGAAAACAAAATAGTTGCAGATGAAAATCTCCTTGCAGGGGAAAGAAGTGGAAGGGATAGAACTATTTTCTCAACTCCAGAAGGAAAGGGGAGAAGAGTCGGAAGATGCAGAAGGAGGCAGAGGCGAAAAAGATGCAAAGGAGGGGGGGATAAAAAGGTTTACATCTCAGGTGTGGCTCAATTCACCAGGGAAGGAGGGGTTGAAGCAACATCTCCTCAGGCATGAAAAAGAAAAACCCAAAACAACCAGGGCAATGAATCTAGTCTCTAGCAGAGGAGAGATCGAACAAAAAAGGAGAGCCCACGGCTCTTTGGCACTCTCACAAAAGGCCCCTTTTCGAGAGACGCAAGGCTCCCTTCTTGCGATTGTTTCTCATCCCTGCCACCAAGCGAGATGGCTTCTGCCGGGGGTGACCTGAAATAGAACGTAGGGGAGGAGCCAGCTATAAATAAACCCAGCCAAGCTCTCTGGGAGCTGGGATGGTTCAGGCTAGAGGAGCTGCCTGCCTATCAGAAGCTGCATTTCAACCACAGGGGTCAGTGGAAGAGATTCCCCGGGGAGGAAAGGCTGTGCCAGCTGCCAAGCCAAGAGAAGGGGAAGCAAGGCGAGAACAAAAGGGGGTGGGATGGCTGCTTCTGTGTTGTGGATGCCACAGCCTACCTACAGATGGAGCCCGGCCGGTTCATTAAAGCCCAGTGATTTCAAATGTGTATTCCTTGGGAGGGGGGCGTGATTTAAAAAGGAAAGCTAAGGGCCGCAATCCTACATCAACTGTTAAGAGATATTAACGATGCATGTACTCTTCAAAACAAAACAAGACAAAACAAAGAAAAACATCACAGTGACTAAAACGTTATGTCCAAATAAGTCATGTGTACAGTTATGGACAACTTATGTACAGTGGTACCTCGGGTTACAGACGCTTCTGGGTCCGCTAACCCAGAAATAGTACCTCGGGTTAAGAACTTTGCTTCAGGATGAGAACAGAAATCACGCGGCAGCAGCTGGAGGCCCCATTAGCTAAAGTGGTACCTCAGGTTAAGAACAGTTTCAGGTTAAGTACGGACCTCCAGAATGAATTAAATACTTAACCCGAGGTACAACTGTATATCAGCATTTGCACTGAAGCCGCAACTTCCCGGCCACTGGAAATTTGGAAACTCCAAAATCTCTGGTTCCTGAGATTTCACAAAGTACAGTATTGTACTGCTTATATTCAACAGTTAGGAGCCTGATTATAAAAGCAAACAAAAAATCACAGAGAAAAAGACAGACAGACAGAAGGTAAGACTATCAAGTGAGGTATAAATTGTTGTCAATGGAATTAATAAAGCATGCCTTTTTATTACATGGAGTATCTTGAATGAGTTAACTGATGCTGTACTGGCCCATCCTTGCCCCTCCCAGTAAATAACAAACAGTAGACTGGTGTGCTGCATCATAACCAGTGTGGTGTCCAAAGAGCATTTTGATTTTCAAAGGTTTTTGAAACCCTTGGTATCCCTTCCACCAGCTCTTATTAACACAAGCCCTGTGCATGTACATCCCTTATGGCAGCAGTTCTCAACCTGTGGGTCCCCAGATGTTGTTGGACTACAGCTCCCATCATCCCTGAGCTCTGGCCTTGCTAGCTACGGGTGATGGGAGTTGTAGTTCAACAACATCTGGGGACCCACAGGTTGAGAAAGGCTGCCTTACGGCATGGGTAGGCAAACTAAGCCAAACTAAGGACCGGATCCAGCCCAATTGCCTTCTAAATCTGGCCCGCGGATGGTCCGGGAATCAGCATGAGTAGAATGTGTCCTTTTATTTAAAATGCATCTCTGGGTTATTTGTGGGGCCTGCCTGGTGTTTTTACATGAGAAGAATGTGTGCTTTTATTTAAAATGCATTTGTGGGGCATTTTCTTTTTTCCCCTTCAAAATATAGTCCGCCACCCCACCCCCCACAAGGTCTGAGGGACAGTGGACCAGCCCCCTGCTGAAAAAGTTTGCTGACCCCTGCCTTACGGTGCAATCCTGCACATTTAACTCAGAAAGTAAGTCCCCATTACGTTCAGTGGCGCTTATTCCCAGGCATGCATGCACTCCATACCATACATGGTAAGCTCAGGGGTGGGAATGGGGGAATAGCTTAGTTGCAGGGCATATACTTTGCGTGGAGAAGGTTTTCAAGTTCAACCCTGGCATATCCAGGCAGAGTTTGAAAAGAGCCCTGCCAGCAACCCTGGAGAGCCATGGCCAGTCAATGCATGTGGAAAACACGAGCTGTGTTCGCATGTCACAGCTTACTGCACTCCTCTGATATCAGCAAGCCAAGATCCCTGACTTAGCATTACACCCATGCTGTGGCTTGTTTTGCTCGAGACAAAAACACAGAAACCCCAAAACAACAAAAATGGTATCGAAAATTATTTAGAAGCAGACAAAACAAAGACTGCATGCAAAACAAACATATATTGTTTCTTATGCTCTGGCGGAGTATTCTCCTTTGTTTTGGTTGCTTTTACCCCAAACACATTATGATGTGAAGATTAAGGTTTGTTCTTGGCTCACCCATCATGGTTTGTTTGGAGAAAAACAAACCATGATCGCGGGTGAGTGGCAAACTAGGTGAGTGGCAAACTAGGTGCTCCAGGCCCATGGTAAACCATGGTTCACTGCGATGTGTTGACTAGGTTATGGAGTCAATCTTCTGACAAAGTACCTTAGTATGTTACAGGCACCATCTTCGAAGAGGCAGTCCTTATAGTATGAGAATCACAGAACTGCAGGGGTGGAAGGGAAGGATTCTAGAACCCACAGTTTTCCTATGTACATGTACTGTACTTCTATTTTTTAAACAAAACAAAGCAGTGACCTTCTAGTCAACACTTTTTCTTTTGCTTGCCATGCTCAGTTTCCTCCTCCTTCTTGGTGATCATTAACCTGCCAATCACATTGCATTTCTGAGGTGCTTGGAGCACCCCAGCCTCCAAGTGTAGGACAACTGCAGAAATGATCTTCTGAGGCCTTCCCCACATCACAACCCTTTTTAAAGAAACACCGACATATCTGACTTCTGACCCATAAGAGATTCAGCAATGCCTGCTCAGTTTCTTCCAAACCATTATATCCCTCAAGCCTCAACAGTTGCGCTCAGTGGCTATTCACTATTAACATTTACTGTGGTAGCACCCTGCCTGCAGGAGGCATGCCCCCTTAATGTTAACTGTGAGGGATAAGGAAACACAAATATATTCAAAGCTGTTCATGCATGTTTACCTTTAAGTTTTTAAAGCGTATTCAAGTCTTTAGCCCTCTTAGTTGTGAAGATATAATTAAAAGCAGGCAGGCAGTGTTCTGTCACGAACCAATACAAATTAATAACTTCAGATACCGTACATTTACGGCACACCATTTACAGCTATACAATTCTCCTCCTCCTCTTTAGGACCCTTCATCCCAAAACCTGGGGCTGCAGGCCTACCGAAATCCTTTGCTATCAACAGCAAGATCTTAGATGACTCTGTACTGAAGTCAGAGCAGGAGGATTGTCCAGAGGGAGGAGGTTAGCAATCTTACTTGCGCAATATCCTTATTGCATAAGATAGGGGGTTGTTAAATCATGCTCTCAACCCTGAGAGATAGATCACTGCTAATCCTGTTTTCACAGACAGGAAACAAAAGATGGAGAAAGGCCTTGGAATTAATTCGGGGCAGTGGAGGAGTCAAAATCCAACGCTCTTTCAGTTCCCAGGTGTATATATATATATCTCTCTCTGCTTCCAACCCAGCCAAGATAACAAGATGCACATGGAAAAACAGAATGTCAATCCATGGCATCGCCAGGTGGAGTTGAGAAAGGCTTGCGGCTGAATCACTGAAAAGCCACGGCCCACTCAGATATAAGGGTCCTATAAACTCAAGCTTGCTCTTCATATTCCCCACATGCTGTAGCAATAGGTCACAGACTGCGTATCACTGCAGCCGTTTGGATATTTCGAGGCAGGTCAAGAGCAAGGCCTGTATTTACCAGCACGTTAATTTAAAACCTAGGCTTTTAAAATAGCCCTGCGTTATTTATAGCTCTCTGAGACCACTCTACCCCCTCCCTCTACCCCCCACCCTCATGTGCTTTTGGACTTTATTTTGGACTTGACGTCAAATAAGCTATTTATATAGGCATGATGGGACGAGAGAAGACAGGAGCCCTTTCGTCCCCACACCCCTCTTTGCATGCTTGGCCTTTGGTTCACGTCAAGGGAGAGGGTCACTATACAAGGAAAGGCGATATTCCACATGGCTGCCCTCCTCACCTTGAGGCCTCGATTTTTACCTCAGGAGGAGCAGTCACCACACCACGGGGCTTCCTGTCTTAAACCACCCCTGCCTAGCCAGAAAGCAGATGGACAAACATACAATTTTTTGCTTTGTTACCATGTAATTGTGCAAAAGGAAAATGATGTTTGAAAAGGCAACTACCAAGGCTGCAAACAGTGATATCCCCGCCCCCAAGCCCTGAAAAACTTTGAAATGACCTTTCAGGAGAATATATTTTCATGGGGCAAATGTTCTGTTGTTGCCGGATCCAGATATCTTCCCCCACAGAGGAAGGCTTTTGTTATGAGGGAATAACACCTCCTCAACAGTACGCCCACAATATTTTGTCTATGTAACTCAAGGTTGAGGCATATTTCCTTCAAGCTAATACATCTGTTACATTTGCAAGTGACATGCAGTGTGCTGTTTCAGGAGTGTAGATAAAATATATTGCTATCAAACAGTAAAACATGTTTTTGTAAAGTTTTATGTTTGAAGAAGTTTTTAGAAGCGTAAGCATTTCTTCTCTCTCTTTTTTTCAAAGGAGAGACACACAAAAATATATCCACCACAGGCAAAACTCCTGTCCATTGCATTGGGACATGATAACGGTGATTCTAACATAGGATTTACTCAATAACAACTCCCCGCCCCCCCCCCAAAAAGAAACCTTGAAAGATTTACTCTAACAAGGAAAAATGATTGCAGCGGATGGAAAAGTAAATGCTACAGACATTTCAGATCCAGAGGTTTGTGGTTAGGAGCTCCTTTTCCGCTGTAAACTATAGAACAGTGTGGCTTTTACGTTCTTTGGAGAACAAGGAAATTTTGCCTACTTAATTTTTCTGAACAGCT